AAAGAGTGATGCTTAAGGGATTTTATTTCCGTTAAACTTGTTCTACAGATTTTAATTCAGTGTTACTTTGAGGAACAGTTTATCCCCTAGATCAGCATCCCATGTTCTCTTTTATAGTGTCCTAAAAGTGCCTGAAGACTTGTCACAGTTTATAATTAAATATTTGTTTACTATATGCCTCTCTCTACTAGACTGTAAATTTCCAGGGGCCAAGGATGGGTCTGGTTTGCTGTATCTGTGTTTAGGACAGTGTCTGCATATAATATACAGTAAACTTTTATTAAATGAATGATACTGGCTTTCCTGTAATTCTTGTTCTTTATTTAAGGCTATATAAGTCTACTCTTCTGTGATAAGCTTCCAAGTATTTGAAGATTATTGTGTCCCCACTTTAATCATTTCAAGTCAAATACTTTTGAAATATTTTTAATTTCATCACTCTTCCTCCAATCTGTATGATTTCCAAGTCACTAATCATCTTGATTGTTCTCTTTAGGGTGTGCTCTTGTAATAGACTTTTTTTTTTTTAGCCCAGAGCAGGAGATAATGCTCCAGATGTCATCTGTGCAATATGGAGTATTGCCTCCCTTAGTACTAAGTATACAAGATATAGGCTAAACCACCGTAACAAAGAGATCGCACATAGAGTAGCTAGGACAAAATAAGTTGCTTTCTCAAGTAACAAGCCCAGAGGTAAGCAGCTCTGTTCCATGATGTCATCTTGGATTCTCCTTTCCTTCTGTCTTTAAGTTTTGCCATTTCCTTTGGTGTTGTCATGTGCATGGTTGAACTTGGCCCTCAGAAGAGAGAAAGAGGAAATGGAGAGCAAGCCACTTAATTACATATGCTTTAGAAATTGCATATGTGACTTGTGCTAACATTTCATTGGCCAGAACTTAGTCACAGACCACACTTAGTTGCCAAGCAGCTATATGCCCAAGAAGTTCTGTTACTTAAAAAAAAAAAGGAGGGGGGGTAGAATAGATACTGGGGATAATTAGTAATTTGCTTGTTTGGCATGAGTGTCACACAGTTGGTACATGTTGAATTTCTGGTCATAAATGTTGTCCATCTTCTGATCTGTGCTGTTAGTTTTTTAAGTACATCACAAACATTAACGTTTGTTAAATTATTTTATACAAGTGATAGATACTGTTAATTAGCTTTACTACTATTACCTTTTTTTTGGCCACAATTGAATGGCTGATTATTTCTAGACTCAGCAAACATAAATTCAGCAGTTTCTCCTCTTCAGGTTTACTTTCTCTTTCCAAATAGGAGAGGCTGCTTTATGTTTATTCATGTCACATATTAATTATCCTAGGTGTTTGCATTTTTACGTTGTCTTTGAGTTCAGTGCTATTGAATTTAGTGGTACTTAAATTAGGTAATCTCGGAGTACTGTATAAAAATGTTTATTGAGTCTCACTTTGTGTGCAGAATTTAAAGTAATGTGAATTCCTTCAAATTAATAATGCATTAAGAGTTGTATAGTCTCAAAGCTAGTAGGCCACATAAGTTGGTGAAAACGACCACATGGCAGTGTACTTCTTCAAGACTGGTCTCTTAAGTTATGTGAGATTTAAATTGTGACACATCTTTAGGACATTTACCACATAGCTTGAAAGCCTTTGTTGGAAGGAATTTCTGATAATTGGGAATAGTTGGGGGAGGTATTTGGAGGAGACTGCTATTTCTTTTATTAGCCCTGAAAGCATACTATTCCTAGAACTTGTACTAAAGTTAAATTCTGCTTTAGTTGTTTTAGGGTGCTTGGCTTAGAAAGGTTAGAATAATGCTTACTTAGAAAAGCTTCCTTATCTCTATATCCCATAATCATCCTCTTTCCCAGACTGCCTCCCCTGGCTTTTAACAGCATGATGATCATACAAACAAATGGTAGGTAATTCATACAAATATATGCAAGGTAGTTCTGGCCTGGGCGGTTGCTGTTTAAGGATCACCTAAGGAGATTTTTGGGGAAAGATTTGTAAGGAATTAAGAAATCTCTGCTATTTGATAACAAGATCTCAGACCTTTTTTTGGTGTGTGTGTATGTGTGGGATGACATTAAATTGTCTATGGAAAAAAAAAAACAACAGTGGGATGATTCTGAAAATGCTGCTAAAAAACTAGCACTAAAGAACTGTGTAAGAAATACTAGACAGTCATTTGTGCTTTCTATTGAGGCAAAAGAGGTAGTATTTGAAACAATAAGAAGTGATTCTTAAAAAAAAATTTTGTTCAATAGAAACCCATCATTTAAAAGTATAATTGTATGTTAGGCTTTTCAACCTAATCTGCATCTTACCTGAGGTAGAAAATGCTAGGTTACTGGTCCAAGGTGGAAATCCTGGTTAGAATCCAGCATTTTTAGTCTAGTCATCTGTATGCACAGGATCTGTCTCTACATTTGAGAAACATTCATTCCGAATTGGAGGTAGGAATATTAAGAACATACATGAAAATGACTAGAAGAATAATATCAGCTTGTATTGAATCAATTGGTAGATTCTGTTTGAAAGTTAGGATTCCCTGGGCTGCAAATTTGTATAGAATATGCCCTAAGTTTACTAGAGTTGGTACAGAGAAAATGTCTATGCTTGCAGGTAACATTAGATTATGAAGGGAGATCAGGAAGGCTTTCAGAAGAAAAATCTTGAACTCATCTTTGAAAGTTAAGATGTAGGTTGACAGAAAAGAGGACATTCCAAGAAGGACAGATTCAAGAGAAAAACCACTACAGATAGATACAAGTATGGCATAAGTAGGCTAGAGAAAAATATCAGCCTGCCTAGGGTGGAGGATCTTACATGGAAGTACTGGGAGATTGGATTTAATAACAGTCAACCTGGTATCTGGCCTGATGTGAAGGCTTTCAAGCTAGGGAGTACAAAATGAATATGGAAGATTAATTTGACAATAGTCTTTTTTTTTTCCCCTGCCCTGTCAGTTTAACTGTTTATTTACTGATTTTTTTCCTTATAAAGATCACTTGAAAGTGTTTACAAAGTTCAAAAACCATCATTCTCAGAGAAGTTTATCTTAATGTTTTCAGTATTTCCTTGAGACGTTGGACCATGGACTAACTTTCACCTTGAAATTTCTGTTATGGTACATATATCAATGTATTTGTCAGTGTGCTAGGGTGCCTTTCTGTAACTATTGACTTTATCCAAGGTACTGACTGTTGAATTCTTAGTATGTAGAAGAAATAGCAACATTGGAAATAATACCCTATCCTGATTCTTATGTTATAGTGTACTTCAGTCCTTTCTCCCCCCTCTTTCATTTTATCTCAGGTCAACAGGACATACTGCTGTGGCACCTACCGAGCAGGTCCTATGCGGCAGATAAGTCTTGTTGGAGCAGTAGATGAAGAAGTTGGTGATTATTTCCCAGAGTTCCTTGATATGTTAGAAGAATCACCATTTCTGAAAGTGAGTGTTTTTCAGGTTATTAAAGTTCTGATCGTTACTTAAATGGACACTTACCATTAAAAAGTTTTAAGCTAATCTTATCTATTAAAATTTTTTTATCCAATGTTTTGAGTAGAAATGTTTAGAAAATTATTGGTATAAAATACTTAACTTCAATTATTCTTCTTTACATATAAATTACTGTCTAATACATTTTTTTCTTCATACACACACACAAAATAACCTCCTTAGAGCTTTCTTTTGGGTGTGAGGGGTTAACTTGTAAATAGTCTAAAAATTTTTTTTTAACGTGACTTATTCTTCTGACTTCCAGATGACTTTGCCCTGGGGTACACTTTCTAGCCTTCGACTCCAGTGTAGGTCCCAGAGTGATGATGGGCCTATCATGTGGGTAAGGCCAGGAGAGCAGATGATCCCTACAGCAGACATGCCAAAGTCACCCTTCAAAAGACGACGGTAAATATTTATTTTTCTCAAACAGAAGCACTTTTTTTTAGTTGGTTGCTTATAGAGATGATTGAGACTTGAACACAGTTTCAAAACCATTTTTCTAAATTATTTGAAGAGTTATCTTAAGTAAATCTTCCAGCCATCAGTTCCTTAGTCCAGTGAACTCATTACACAGTTACCAGAGTGAGGCATCCTTCCAAAAAAAACAAATCTAATTTTCACTTCTTTTCTTAAAACCTGGGTCCTAACTGCTTGTAAGATAAAAGTCTAAACTCCTTTGTGTGGATTACAAGGATCTTTTCTAATCTGGCCCTGACAGTATCTCTTCTAGGTGTATCTGCTTTTAGTCTGCTCCAGTCATGCTGAATTCAGTTTCCAAACCATGGTCTTTCACAACTCTGTGCTTTTGCACTGCTCTTTTTACTTGGAATGGCATCCCCTCCTCCATCTTCCTCTCTACCTGGCAAACTCTTAACGAATTTTCAGAACTTAACTTGGATGTCACTTCCTTTGTGAAGCTTTTCTTTGTTCCCTTAGACTTAGTCATTCTCTTCTCTGTGCTCACACATCATTCTGTTCATTAATGATCTGTTTACATGTTTTTGGTTTTTACTATAAATTTTAACCTTTTTGAGGACAGTCTGATTCTTCTCTGTCTTCATTAACATAGCAAGTGATCAGTATTTACTGAATGAAACCAATGATATATTCTCCTACAGCAATTCATATTGGCCTAACATTGTTTCAGACAAATTTATTTTGTTTAAAACAAATGTAGATTAATTTATTCTAGGACTGTGAAAAAATCTCATTTAATGGGACTGAAAATTAGCAACTCAAAAAATAGCAACTAAAAATAAGTACCCAAAAGTGAGTTTTAATGGACTAGGCTAGACCTTACCTTAAAGCTCATAGGAGAATAAATACTAGAGCTAAGTATGGAATAACCTTAGGTACTTGAGATAATCATGAAAATACTTCATAAAAACTATTTATGAATGCAAGGTGGTGGCATGGTAGAACATGGCAGTAAACCAAAACTTCTGTACATTGCTAGACCATAGCAGTTTTTGTACATCATGATGATGAATGTTGATATTCTAAATTCTTAAGTATTGTGTACATTTTTTATTCTATAATCCTTCCCAAAAGGAAATGACCATTGTTTGTTTCCTGATTATTATAAACTTAAAAAAAATGATAATAGAAAAAAGTAAAAAGGCAAAAAATATCTATAATCCCACCCATTTAGGCACATTAACCTTTCAAATTTTGGTCCATATATACTCATAAATTTTCTTTTTACACAGATTAACTCATTCTTTACATGATGTTTACTTTAAAACTTGTTGTTTTTTCCCCCCTTAGGTTTACATGTTATATTAAGATACAGCCATATCATCATTTCTAAATGACTATGTAGTTTTGACTGGTTATATCAAGATTTATTTAACCAATTCTTAATTTTTTTAAAATAAATTTATTTATTTTATTTATTTATTTTTGGCTGTTTTGGGTCTTCATTGCTGCACGTGGGCTTTCTCTAGTTGCAGCAAGCGGGGGCTACTCTTCTTTGTGATGCACGGGCTTCTCATTGTGGTGGCTCCTCGTTGCGGAGCATGGGCTCTAGGCATGCAGGCTTCAGTAGTTGTGCGTGGGCTCTAGAGCGCGGGCTCAGTAGTTGTGGCGCAGGGCTTAGTTGCTCTGTGACATGTGGGATCTTCCTGGACCAGGGCTCAAACCTGTGTCCCCTGCGTTGGCAGGCGAATTCTTAACCACTGAGCCACCAGGGAAGCCCTAACCAATTCTTTATTAGTGTAAATTGTTTCCATTTTTTTCAATATAAATGGTGTTTTGACAGACATGACAGTGGTGTGCTGGAGCCAGTTTGTACCAGCTTACAGGGCATTGTTAGCCTCGCAATTCCACATTGAGTGAGGTCACATTAGTAGCTTGAAATTGGCCATGTTGTGAGTATTTATACCACACAAATCAGCATATCAGCCACAAATGAGCCATCTCCCCCCGTAAAGCCAATTGTTAAACATGTATGGCACATCATTGATTGTGGCCGGCTGGGTGGTTGGTTGATAGGTAGGTAGGTAGATAATATCTTTGTGCATGTGCATGTTTATTTTCTTAGTGGAAATTACTAAAGGCTCAAAGTATATATACATTTCTAATTGACTTCCAGAAATGTACCAATTTATATTCCCACCCATATAGTAAAATAGCACCCTTTCCCCCATACTCTCCACTAACATTCTCTTTAACTTTGTTGATCTGATTGGACAAAAATGTGTTATTCTAATTTGTTTTTCTTTGAGGCGTTTGCATTTCTTCTTTTGTGATTCCCTCTTAATTTTCTTTACTCATATTTCTATTGGGATGTTTTTCGTTTGTAAAAATCCCTATGTATTGTAACTATTAACTTTTTTTTCTTTTGTTACAGGTTTTTCTCATTTTTTTCTTTTAGCTTATGTTTTTTCTTTACTCAATTTTTTTCAGTTTCTTTTTTCTTTACTCACAGAGTTTTATTTATATGTTGTCAGATCTGTCTTTTCCTCTGAGGTTTCTTTTTTAGTGGCAAACTTAGAAAGGCCTTCTCTCATTTAGTGTTATAAAATACCTACATTTTCTCCTAGTACATCTGTGATCTCAGTATTTACATATTTTATCTACCTGGCATTGATTTCAGTGTAGAGGGAGAAATTTAGTTTAACATTCTTTCCAAGTAATTAGGCGGTTGTAGCAGCATCATTTGTTTAATAATTTATTATTTCTCAGCTAATCTGAGGTGCTATCAAATTTTATTTCTATTGGGATTAAATATTCTTAAGAGGGGCATTCAAAAGCACTTTGAATTAGAGTGAATACATCAAAACTTAAAAAGTAATGTCATCTTTTTGCATTAATGAGAATGCCCTGTTGCTGAAAATGACGGAATTAATGTGAGAAGCTGTCTAGTTATCCAGGGCACTGCTAATGAAGATGATCTTTAAATTTATGAACTCTAGAGTTAAAGAAATATATGCACAGGGTTTTAAAACATCAAACAGTATAGTAGGGTTTATAATGAAAAATCCTGGCCACCTTTCTCTCCAGAAGCAAACACCTTTTTACCAGAGGCAAAAATAATTTCTGTTATTAATGCCTTTTTTTGTTTTGTTTTAAGGGTTTGACAGGAAATTTGTCAGTTTCTTGGTATAATAGATAGGGATGTCTTCCATTTATGGGTTCTCCAAATAGTTAAATGAGCCTTACTTTATCCTCTTCCTCTCCCTTCTACTTTTTGTCAGCTGTGCTTATACATTGTTGAGGCTAATTCATATTCTGCTTTAAAACCATAATTAGGCTTTATATGCTTTGTCAATAGATATATTCTAATATTTGAAAGCCAACAAATGGCATTTAAAATATTATGGGTAGGTAAGTTTATTGCAGATCCATCTAGTAGGTTAATATTCATATTCTAAGGTTCCAGTGGTTTGTTATCACTCAAAGGAATAATATACAAAAGGATCTTTCTTTTCTGTATTTCACCTAGATACTGAAAATCATGCCACTTTTTAGCTTGGTTCATATTTGGATCATGCTGATTTTTTTTTTTTTTAATTCTGTTTTTCCTGTAGTTTCCTTTTCTTTTTTCAATATAAATTTATTTATTTTTGGCTACATCGGGTCTTCGTTGCTGCATGCGGGCTTACTCTAGTTTGCGGCAAGTGGGGGCTACTCTTCGTTGCAGTGCGCGGGCTTCTCATTGCAGTGGCTTCTCTTGTTGCAGAGCATGGGCTCAAGGGACGCGGGCTTCAGTGGCTGTGGCATGTGGGCTCAGTAGTTGTGGCTCGCGGGCTCTAGAGTGCAGGCTCAGTAGTTGTGGTGCACGGGCTTAGTTGCTCTGCGGCATGTAGGTTCTTCCCAGACCAGGGCTCAAACCCATGTTCCTTGCATTGGCAGGCGGATTCTTAACCACTGTGCCACCAGGGAAGTCCTTCCTGTAGTTTCTGGTTGCCTTGTTTTGAGGTGATACCATACACTTCTCTTGACCATATCCATAATTATGTTCTATTCTGTTTATTGCTTAAGATACATTACTTTTTTCTAGAATCACACTGGCCTTCTCCTCTATGACTTTGGCTATTGCTTTTTTTTTTGGCTGTTGCTGTTTTATATAGCCTCTTTTTGGCGAGAATGTTGGTAGTTACATTGCATTCTTTGCTTTTATCATACCCTCAGGAATGCAGAATTTCAATCATACTGTCTGGTCTAACTCATCACTTTTTACCTGGAAATCTTTTGGAGCTCTGTGTTTTCTTACTTCAGTGTGAAAAGCTTATTTCACAGTTATCTACCATTTGATGTTTTTTCTGCCTTAACCTGTGGTTGTCTTCTTTCTGGGTTTATTTCTTTTCCTTTCTTGACCACATACTCAAGTTATATTATACGAAAAGGAAGGTATTGAGTCATCATATGTCTGAAAGTATCTTTTTCTGTCATTAAATATGATTGATAGTTTAGCTGTAGTCCAGAGGATGTATTTTCTCTTAGGGTTTTTTTAACGTTGCCCCAGTGTCTTCTGGTATATATTATTGTTTATGAGAAGTCTTAATGCCAGTGTAATTATTCTTCTTTTGTAAGTAACCTATTTTCTTTTCCTTTCTGGAAGCTTAATTTCATAATGATACGTCTTTGGGCTTTTACTTCTTTTTAATCCTTTTTGTTGATTGGTGGGTACCTTAAACTGAAAGATTCATGTCTCCTTTCATTTCTGGGAATTTTTCTTGCTTAGTTGCTTCAGTAATCTCTTCATTTTCACTATTCTTTCTTTATGAAACTACTGTTGGCTGAATAATAGATCCCTCAGTTTGATTATCCTCGTATTTCTTATTATCTTTTTGCTTTCAGTTTCGGGACATTTACTTGACTTTTGTCTTCTGACAAAATCCTTACATTTCAGCATTGCATTTTTTGGTCTTTGTCAGGCTGCTGTAGGCTGTTTTCACATATCTGGTGATTCTTGGTTGACCCGTTTGAATTTAGGAACACAGCATTGGGCCTACTGGGCATTCTATTTCTATTTCAGTGAGGCTTGTCAATAGATAGGTTTCACTTCAGAGTTAACAGGCATAGAAGTGGGCCTTAAAGGATATGTCCAAATACCAGAGGATTACGTTAGTACTATTCATATGGTAAGTTCAATGTGTTTAGAGAAGAACATGCAGGATTTTTTTGGCTGAAAGTTTATCAGGATGCTTTTGGTTACAAGCAACAAAATTGATTCAGACTGGTTCATAAAATAAAATGTTATCCTGTATTTCAAGAAGTTCAGAGGGGTTGACTCTAGGCACCATATAGTCAAATGGCTGAGTGCTGTCATCAAGGAAACAGATCTTTTCCTTTTCTCTCCTCTGTCATTCTCTTTCCTAGGCTTTGTATTTACAGTGGCTTCCATTATGGTTGCTGGATGGCTATAGCAGTTCTGGGTATCACATCTGGATCTGGTTATATCTAAAAGAAGAAGAGATTGTCCTTTACTTCTTTTTTAGGAGCCAGGAAGCTTTGCAGAATTCTTAGCAGATTTCCTCTCATATTGCTAGCCAGAATCGATCAGTTCATGCTCATTCCTAAATCATTCATTGGCAAGGGGAGTGAGCTTAGTGTAGTTTGCCAGAACTCATCAGGATCTACCTCTGGAGCTTGTGAATGAGGTTCCGTATAGGGTAGGAGCAGATACCTAATAAAAATCAGAGTTCTTTCAGAGAAATTAAGATGAGAGATGGATGCTGGTCTTCTGCATGAGGGTAGATGCCTGACTGTTCAAATTTCCACCACTAGGGTGGCATGTGACAGGTTTATGTGCAGATTTCACTTTATTTGCTCCCTTCTCAACCTTACGTCCTTTCTGTCCATTATCATCATACTAGCCTCTTTAGCTGCCATTCCCTTCTTGTATAGTCTAGGCCTGTGGCTTTCTCTGCTCAGTTTCATTAGTTCAAGACACTTTTAATCATTTTTCATCTTCCAGAAATGTGTTGCTCTTGTTCATTCACTAATGCATTTCATTTGTTGCTTCATATTCATATTATATTTGAGCACATAAAAAAGCAGAAGATAATATAATAAACTCCCATGTATTTAGTATCAGCAGTTATCAAGTCATAGCCAGTTCTGTTTCACCTATACTCCCATGCATTCTCCCACTATTCTCCTCCATCCCTACCACATTAGTTTGAAGCCTTTTACTTCTCTTTTAACGTGAAAGGAGATCATGTAGTTGCTCAGGTTGCCATCTTGAATTAAGTCTAGTAGAATGCCTTGAGACTTAAAAATGACTCAGGGTAAAGAGACATACAGTCTTGAACTCTGAGTTGTATTTTCTGTTGCTAGACAACTAAATTTTATATATTCAAACACTACAATTGTGCCAAATCAAAGATACAGCTTCTATATTATTGTGACATACTGAGAGAAGAAGGTAATCACATTCAGCATTACACTATAGCGTGTTAAATGCTGATGATCGAAATCATTGAACCCTTTTCAGCCCTCATCTTATTTAAAATTTGGTATTTTAGTAGACTTTTTGCCTTACTGCTGTTAATACTTTTTTCCCCCTCTTTGCTTCAAAACCAAATCAACTACAGATCAATGAATGAAATTAAAAATCTCCAGTACCTACCTCGGACCAGTGAACCCCGTGAAGTCCTCTTTGAAGATAGGACAAGAGCTCATGCTGATCATGTAGGTCAGGGGTTTGACTGGCAGAGTACGGCTGCTGTTGGGGTTTTGAAAGCTGTACAGTTTGGTGAATGGTAAGTTAATGGAACTCAACTGCAAGATTGGTTAATGTCTTAAGAAAATGTGGACTCAATTTGAAAGGTTGGGGACAGTTTTTAAAAAATTACAGTAAAATGCACATAAAATAAAATTAAAATCTTAACCGTTAAGTGTACAGTTCAGTAATGTTAAGTATATTCATGTTGTTGTGAAACAGATCTCTAGAACTTTCTCATCTTGCAAAACTGTAACTCTGTATCCATTAATCAATAACTCCCTTTTGTCCTCTCCCCCAGTTCCTGGTAAACATCATTCTACTTTCTGTTTCTATGAATTTGACTACTTTAAATACCTCATATAAGTGGAATCAAACAATTCTTGTCTTTTTGTGATTGACTTATTTCAGTTAGCATGATATCCTCAAGGTTCATCCACATTGTACCATGTGTCATAATTTCCTTACTTTTTAAGGCTGAATAGTATTCCATTATATGTATATGCCACATTTTGTTTGTCCGTTTATCTGTCAGTGGACACTTGGGTTGCTTCCACATTTTGGCTGCTATGAACAAATATCTCTTCATGTCCATGGTTTCATTCTTTTGGGTATATACCCAGAAGTGGAATTGCTAGATCATATGGTAATTTGTTTTTTAATTTTGGGAGGAACTGCTATACTGTTTTTCATAGAGGTTGCACCCTTTTACACTCAGTTGGGGCCCGGTTTAAACAAGGCTCAGAACATATTTAAAAACTATATTTTACTTTGTTTTTTGTTTTTATGCCTTCAGGACCTTCAATATTACTGTAGAGTTTGATCTGACGTTAGAGTTTGATTGAATTATAGTTCAATCACAGGTTAAGTATTTCAAGTTAAAGATCATTTAGCTTTTTTCCCCTCTCTACTTTGAAAGCTGGAAGGTGTGACAGTTGTGTGGCTGAGATGTATTCTGTCCATTTCTTTCCATCCTGATAATGACATTATAGGTGGCATGGAGATGGTGGGGCAAAGTGGTTAGAGGATTCAAATGCATCTAGTTTAGAATAAAACTGTTTTTAGTCATCGATGTTTTAGTTTTATAACAACTAATTTTAATTTTGAAAAAAAATGCTTAATTGGTGTTTTTTTTTTTTTAAATTGACTAAAGAAACAAATGTATAATTTGCCCTTAGGAGTTATGCATCTATTTCTTTGCTAGTATAGCAGTTCCAGGAACGGGAAGATTGAAGTTTGTCATCATTTTCCATTATGAGATGCTTGTTTCTAAAGCTTAATTTTGTTAATCTTAGGAGTGACCAACCTCGCATAACCAAAGATGTGATTTGTTTTCATGCTGAGGATTTTACTGATGTTGTACAGAGACTTCAGTTGGACCTTCATGAACCTCCAGTTTCCCAGGTAGTAACTTTTGCTTTTTTATTTCTCTTTGAGTGAGATTTTGGAAATAAGTATCCGTACCTATTTAATTTTGCATTTTATCTTATAGTTGGATACATGAGATAGTGAATTTAATTTTATTACTATTAAAGGCTGTTTGTGGAGGGTGTTGAAAATCATTAAAACGGAGCTTCCCAAGCAGAATGCTTAAGATCCTTCAGTCTTTGGGATGCCAGGTGGGCCTGGGGTGGTCAGAGGGCCCAGGATAACTCAGTTCTGGCCATGAGCAGTCTCAGCTGTTAACCCCATTGCCCTGCGTGTCCTCACCTGCAAAAGGTTGAAAGACACTGAAGGAGCAGACAAATGTTACCCTTATGTGGGTCAAAGAATATTGATATTTAGTTGCATTTTGAAATACTTATTTAAATGATTCCCTAGGCCATCCTAATTTTAACCTGTACTTTTTTACTAGAAATGTAGTAAAATATGAGGAAAAATGTGTCTCAAGGATTGTAGGAAATTTTAGAAAGTTGTATATCATACAGTGTTGTTTAGCTTTAATTTGATCCTGTTTTCCTGTGCTAATTATAATATTTTATTTGACTACATCTTTACATAATTTACTTTAAAATCTCATGCAACTTTTTTCCTCTCTTCAGTGTGTGCAGTGGGTGGATGAAGCGAAACTAAACCAAATGAGGCGGGAAGGCATTCGTTATGCTAGAATTCAGCTGTGCGACAATGATATCTATTTCATCCCTAGAAATGTCATTCATCAGTTCAAAACAGTGTCAGCAGTGTGCAGCTTAGCCTGGCATATAAGGCTTAAACAGTACCACCCTGTTGTGGAAGCCTCTCAAAACACAGAAAGCAGTTCTAACGTGGACTATGATTTAACTGGAAAGAGAGAATTAGAAGTTGACTCCCAGTGTGTGAGAATAAAAACTGAATCTGAGGAAACATGCACAGAGATGCAGCTTTTGACAACTGCTTCATCGTCCTTCCCACCTTCATCTGAACTTAATCTACAGCAAGATCAGATGACTCAGCCTATTCCAGTTTTAAAGGTGGAAAGTAGACTGGACTCTGACCAGCAACACAATCTACAGGAACATTCAAGCACTCCTGTGTGATATGTACATATTCAAACACATTTTTTAACTTTTTTAAATTTTGATGTGAAGTTATAGTTTTATAACTGGCTTAAGTTAAGTTTTATTGGAGAAATCTTGCCTATAATTCTATAAAGAGAAATGACATTCCACAAATGTCAAGCATATCTTTTTTACACAGATTATGCAAAGTTAAGAGTTGTATCTTATCCCGTTAGTACAGTATGTAATAGTGGGTCTGCTGCTACTTTCTGTTTTAAGGTGTGAGGTAACAATTCAATCTCTTCAAATCAAAATGAGAATTCTCTGGAATAACAGATTCTTATTTGGTAAATAATTCACTTCCTTTAATTCTATCTTGCCTTGTCTCTTGCCATATTTGCTGTTTTTATGATAGAAGATCAGATTTATGGTTTAGTACTTGTGCTTTTATGGCACAGATTCAGTTTCTACAGTAAAAATGGCATAGGTCGCAGGAAAGAATTCCTGCATCTTGTACATGGGCAAGTCAGTTATTTAGTTCCAACCATAAAGAACAGATAGTTTCTAAGGAATTCAGTGGCTCTCTGATTTCTTAACAAAAGAGAAAGCACAGCACTTTCTGATCCAAACTGTCTTTTTTTGTATCTGTTATTTAAAGCCCAGTGGATATTTCAATTAAAAATATCTAAAGATGAATAGTCCTTGGTCATTCATTCTCCATGGTTCATTAATCTCTTCTAGAATACATGGTAACTGTGGAAGATATTTTGGGTAAAATAGATAATGTTGACATGATACTCTATTGTTCTGCTTCCTAGCATCCTCACATTCTGTGTGGATACTTTTGCTTCCTAAACTGATCACGAGTATCAAACTTAGAGAATGATACCTATCTTTCAGATGAGGCTGCCATATTTTGTGCATGAAACTTAGGAAAAACTATTTTTGTCACTTGGCATCAACCTCTTCATCATAAAGATCTGTTGAGATACTTCAGTTCACAGTTTCAACTGGTGAATACCTGGGTTTATTTATTATTACTCTGTGTTGCTACTGTCTAATAAAGAATATGGCACTAGACTTCATCCTAGAGTTTCAGGTAGCTTAATCCTTATTAGTGCCTGAGTATTTAACCATTTTTTTTCGAACAGGCACAGTTCATATAGCTAGTGTAGTCTTAACTTTCTATTATTTTAGAATGTTAATGGGATACACATTTCACTTTCTCTTAGTTAATAATACAATAGGCCTTTTGTTTATTAAAGGAAGAGTACTCCCCACACCTAAGACCAGATTCTTGTATCTACCTGGTTATAGTGCAATTTGGAGATTTTTTTTTTCCTGGAGGTTGAGATTTGGAATATTTACATTAACATAGGCAAAAAAAGATGCTGCTTTATTATGTCTGTCACCATGAAAACTTAGCTGCATCTTTTGAAATATCAAATATGAATTTTCTCTAAAATATTCTGAAATAGGTTAAATCTTATATAAATATTACTTTGTGCAATATTGTTGTGTAGTTAAATGCATATTAGCAAAGTATAGAGGTCACTGTGTAAACCAATAGAAAAGTAACCATCAGCAAATACTGCAGTGATTAGTTAGAATCTGTATTATTCCTTATATATATGTATATGTATGTATTCTCTGTTAAAAAGGATGAAGACAAATAGAGAAACATTTCAATGTAAACCATTTATGAATTGGAAGTGATGTTGGTTTTAGTTATCTTTGTAAATAAGGTAATTAGAATGGTATGAACAGTAATGTGATTATTGCAGGGGTGTTTTAAAATCTTGGGTATAAATTTTAGGGTAAATTCTGGTTTATCAAGGCTAGTTTTTAAGGGACCTGCCTTTGAGGGTGTTTTTTGTTATTTTGTTATTTTAGGGGGAAGGGGTTAATCACAAAGTATGTGGGTTTGGGTTATTTCTTATTTTTGTTTTTGTGTCCAGAAGAATTTCATAGAGCTTTACCAGGCTGTGCAAAGTAAAATTCTTCTCAGGCAACATTTGCTTTTTAAAATAATCATGAAGAACAAGGTTGTTAAAGCAAAAACTTTTAATTTTTTTTCTTGTCTTCCAAGATCCGATTTCCCCATCTCCCACTTGCCATCCAGCAGATGCCGTCTGTCATCTAAGCTGGTCATTGCTAATAAACAAGGAGACTGTCTCCTGACAGCCATCACTGTGTATAATCACTCAGGAACCAGCGGATCTGCAAAGACCTACAATCAAAAGCAAATCCCCATTTTCTTTTTATAAAACATTCTACCCTCAACTCCAATATAACATATTAAAAGAGTATAAAAATGTTTAAAATCATGTACTAATAAATTCATTGTATGTTAGAATTGCAATAGAACTGAGAGAGAAACATTTAGCTAGTAATGTATCTGGAAACTGAATGTCTTATGTGAGTATTAGATTTTAATAGCATGCTTTAAAGACTGATGAATATAAAAGCGCAAGTTTTGAGTTTCTTCTTTAAAGCTGTATCCTAGTTTAGTGATACAAATGATGGCAACTTTTCTAAAATCATTAAATTATTTGGTTTGGTGGAGTGAGGCATGGAACAATCTGGCGTCTTCTGACTTGTAAAGTAGTGATGGCAGTGAAGTTGTAACTGAAATGTAAGCTGATCTTCCTTTTTTGGTATGTTACCTGTTGTGCCAGCTCTTTGAGATTACTTGCAGAATGTGGCTATAAGTTTTAGTATTTTGTGGAGCAGAGGGATATTTTTTAAATGTGCTTATGGAAAGGACCCAGTAAATGAGTAAACTTAGTAACTAGAATGATTTTATGGTATTCACTAATCAGGAGAAAAGTCTTCCCCCTGCCCCAGAAGTCATTCTGTAATTACCAAGATACACTAGGAGTAGGATTATGATTCAAACAAGTATCCCAAATTCATAAAGCAATAATAATAAAAACTACATATTTTTTTCCCTTGCAAAGTTTTTAACTCTTTAAAAATGAATTCCTAGGCTTAATTGTACTTTTAATTTGCTAATTTAGTACTTAGAATTTGTTTCACTGGTACTTTATTATTTTGAATTTAAAGACTTTTGAAAGGTACCCTTTCCCCTTAGAGATAGTTGGAATAACAGTAGACTAATATTAAAAGCTCTTGTAGGGGGAAAACGGGGCTTATCATATAAAATTATTTACTAAACCTTAGGAAAAGGTGTCTTGCATCAGTCTTAATAGGCATAAAGTTCATGCTTAATGACTGGAGAAACTTGCTTATTGCCTTTCCCTCTATAATTATTGTCTAGAATGAAAGCTAATTTAGGAACAAGATACCAAAATTCAAAAAACCCCTTAGTGCATGTATTCTTTATTATTATTAGTTCATTATTAGATCATTTATTTTCATCTGTATTTGCCATTAAAAATTTATTTGCATTTATATCTTTAGAATAATTGAGTTTGTGTCTGATAAATCTGTTTTATCATTGCTACAAGTTTTTTTAAAAAAACTTTCACTAGTACATGCCAGAGGTTCATATTTCCGCTAAGTATTATTTTTTAAAAAACAGGTTGTAGCTGTATTTATTGGTCATGCAGTAAGTAGAGGAAATGTACAAGACAGATGTTTTTCTTTAGCACATAAGGGACCTATCCTCATCCTGAAAGTTTGTTGCTTTAAAAGCAAGTATCTCTCCATAAATATTATGGCCTTCCATTTTCTTCATACATCTTTTAGGATTCACTTGTGCATGTAGTTGAGACCACTGTCTCTTAATATAGCACTTTTCAATTCTCTCTAAAGAAATACTTAATGTACTACTTCTATCACATGTTGTAAATTTTCATGTAATAGTGTTTTCTGTGACTAAACTCCATTTTGATTGGCAGCTAAGACTTTTTTTCCTGTGGCTTTAATTTATCTAAGAGGTCTTTGCATATAGATGAAATGTATAATTTGCCTGGCGGACTATTTGCGTTTTGTGGCCTTAGTTTGTTTATTGACATTAATGAGTGTTTTAAAAAGGTTTTTAATGAATAGTCTTAAATCTAAATTTGTGTGAATAATAATCCTTTTAACACAGTGCTTTTTTGTAGCTGTCTAAGTGTGTTAAATTGTTAAGCTATTTCTTTGTAAAATAGGACAATGGAATGCATAGAGTTTTTTTTTTCCTGTAAAGTATTTTTTTAATAAACAAAGTCTGATTTGTCCTTTACTGATGTTTCATGACAAAATGAATAGCACATGTGAATTCTAGCTACCTGGAACCTGTTTTTAAAGTATTTGTCCCTCCCTTCTCTGTCCCCTATTATTTTTTACTATTAGAGATTACAAAATTAGAAAATCTTGACTTTCCTAAAGAAAGTTCATAGATACTGGGGGAAAATTTCATCCATATTGAGAGGCAGTTAGAGGGAAGAAGAAAAACTATGCTTGGCATTTGTGGCAGTTAATGCCTCTTGCTGCATAAGTTGATTTATCCCTATGAGAATAATCTTAAATTTTTGTTCTGGGGATGTCGATATTTTTGAAAGTACATGCATACAGTGTTAGTTAATGAAGGTGGTTTATAGACGTTTCAGATACCGTTGATGTATTAAGTGACATAACTCACTGGATTTTTTCCTCATCAGTTTTTATTTGTGTGAACTTCTCTTTAATTGAGGTACCTGTCCTAAGCACTGATAGCTCTTGTTTATGATTAGGAAAGGAAGAGGGAAGGAATGAATGTTTTTTGAGTAACTGTTGAGGGCCAGGTACTTTTTATGAAGGTAGCTCATTTAATCCTCACAGCCTTGAGTAGGAAGGTAACAATACAATCTCCATAATACAGGTGAGAAAACAGGCTTGTTAGGGTGAATAAATTACCCGAAATCACATAGCTTTTAGTGGGAGCAGGGATTTGAATGCAGTTCTGGGTTCAAAGCCCACACTTTGCTCAGTGAGAGCCTTACCTGATTTCAGTTCTTCCAGGAACTCCCCCCAAAGCCTCTTTGTGTGCTAAGCAACGAAGTAAAATGTTTAATTAGTGTTATTTACGTCTTAAAGCAAATATTTAGATATACAAAAAATGACTTTTTCATTTTTCCAGTGTTGTTTTTGTTTTTGTGTGTGTGTGTGTGTTTTAAAGTCAGCCATTTGTGTTGAAACCAAACAGAATTGTCATGTTCAGCTCTAAGGATGGGAAAAGCTGTCAAGAAGCAAAAGCAGAAAGGAAACCACTGCCAGTGTGTGGAATATAAGAATCAAGCCTGGGTGAAATAATTTTAAATTAGTTCTATGGGAGTTACTTTTATCTTAGTCGATTTTCCTCATCGGTAAAACGGGGATAATAACTTCCCCCTTATGTGGATTTGATAGATAATCAAAAATAATGATGTAAAACATTTAGAACTGCACTTAGGCTTTCTGCAGTGGTCTAATCATTATCTCATTAGCTTTAACTGACCCAAATGCTACAATGCTGGGCAAGCAAGGTCAATGCTTCAAGTGAGGTGAGAATGGCTGTTAGGGGTCAGTGTTCCATTAATGGCCAAAAAAGTATAGAGGAGGAAAGAGGCTTAAAACCTTCTTAATGTATCTTTAAATATTCATTTGAGGTCGCAACCGTGCCTTTCTCCTGACCTCTATCAGCCTGCTTGAATTTTTAACCTAGAAACAGTTCTTCCCGCCGCTACCTTCCCCTACCCTAATTTGGGAAAGTGTCCTGGAACTGACCCCCCATGCCTTGGCCCTCTTCTTCCTTTACCCTTGAGCACCCAGAAGGCTTAAGTCCCAGAGCTGCTGAGGGACGGGAGAGGAAAGGAATTAATAAGGCGCAGCCTGCCAGGACTTTCGCCCCAGGACAGCATAAATTCATGAAAACATTCGTTCATTCAGCAAAGGTTGAGAACGTGTGTGCCAGGCTCCTGCCAGGCCCTAGTCTCTGACCTCATGGAGCCCCCAGACCATTGAGGAAGACCGATAGGATATAATGAAGCACAAAGAAACAAAACACGAGGAAAGGTAAGCGTTGCAAAGAAATGAACGGGGAACTATTGGAATATCTGGACCGACCTCCTTTAGATGAAGGGCTGGGAAAGTCATTTGTGAGAAAGTGACCTGAAAGGTGATCTGGGGGAGCTGCTCTTGGCCTTGATCTCCGTGTAGCTCCCCAGCCCCTCGGTCCCGAAGCCTGGCGGAGGCTCGGCGGGAAGGCCCCGGGCCGGGGGCGGAGCCAACTTCACAGCGAAACACGGAAAGCGGAAGCCGCGGCCTCGCTGCACCGTGGTCTGCGGAGCTGCTGTTTCCTAGCTCTCTGCTGGCTGAGTCACGGCCCTTCCAGGCCCGGCCTAGCGAGGACGCGCGCCCGTCGCCCTGAAGCAGCTGCCACCCGGGCCTTGGGACCTCTGCGCTTGACTTTTTCCAGTCGAACAAAGCCTTTTGCCGTTGCCGTAGCGACTGGCAGCCTAGCTAAGACCGCCTTCACTTTCTATCCCCCTCCTTTCCTAGCTCATTCTTTGCTTATTTTAGGGTCTGTCCGATGACCCTATAGGTCGGGCTTGGAGAGCGCCGGCTCTCTGGCAACAGACTGCCCTCCTCTGGGCGCTGGGCGGCCGGCTGCCTCCGAGGCTGGGGCGGCCTCCGCAGTCTCCATGGTAACGGCCCAGACGGCGTCTCCGCCTCGGGGGGAAGATGAGGCCTGCCTGGCCCGGCGCCTCGCCCCCGGCCTCATGGCCGGGCCGGGGCCACTGAGGAGGAAGGTCCCGGCCACCGGACTGCGGGGCAGCGGGCACCAGGTGAGAGCAGGACTCCTGGGAGCGGAGGAGGTGGGGTGCAGGTCAACTCCAGCGACCTCCCCTCCTCTCCGTCTTCCCTGCATCCCTGAACACACTCGCACAAAATATCGCAGAGAGGCTTCTCCTCTCCGGTCTCCACTGCGCCAGAGGTTTTTTTGGTATGCTTTTGTTTTTTTCCTGGCAAACGGCAGGGGAACGAGACGGTCAGCAGCGCATGGAGAGGCTGAGAGAAGCGTTATTTGAGTTCTACGCAAACTGGGAGAGTACCTTTCAGCAACTGGGCTCACTGACTGGTTTTCCTTCATTTTCAGTGAAATCCCATTCTCTGGCTGGAGACACAGATGGCCTCAAATGAGAGAGATGCTATATCGTGGTACCAAAAGAAGGTAATATCAATGTATTTTTATTTGTAAAGCATGCTTCCTGCAAAAAAGTCCCACAAAGAATACCTATCATGTTAGTTTTCCCTGAGCTTGGTAGTGCAGGTATTCTTACATGATATCTCTCAACATAAATGGAAAAACTGATGGACAAGGTCATTAGGTCTTTTGAACTCAGTTCCAGGTCCCCGAATAAGATTTTCAACCTCCCATCTCCAGGCTGCATTCACAGTGTCACAGCAATGCTTTGAGAGTTTGCTTCTAATCAAACTGCTGCTGTTTCAGGCATAAAACTTTATCTGCACAGCTCAGATTGGTACTGTCAATCTTAATGAGCTGTCCATTACCTTTTATTTCTCTAGTTTTCTACTGATGTTTTTCTTAAGTGGAAATATCTTTTAAGGTGATATTTAATTTGAAATATTTTGGACATTGCTTTTCAACTTACTTTTAGATCCAGCCAACTTGAATTTTGAAGGAAATAGTCCTAGGAAATAAGAATTTATTCTAGCCTCAGAGAAGCACAGACATTTCCCAGGTATCATATGGATACTTAATAGTTTCCTGACTTTTGTGAGACTTGACCCAAATAAAAGGATTTCCTTTGCATCACTTAAATAGCCTGCTTCCTATTTCAGATTGGAGCATATGATCAGCAGATATGGGAAAAGTCAATCGAACAGACTCAGATTAAGGTAAATTGATTCCTTTGATTTTTTCGCTTTGTTTGACTGCTTTAATATGAAGAGTGGATTGTATTTACTTTTTAAAAATTCTGCACTTATCCACCAAATATGGCGTTCTTTGTTCTTTGAAGTTAATAAGAAAAACAACACTGCAAATGGGATGATAAATGACAATTGACATTTGGCCTCCGTATCAGGGAAATAGAAAGGGGTGATTGGTTTATGATAAATTTGAAAGCAAATGTCCCATATAAATGGGGCTATGGCTAACTCTGGCGGTAGTTAGAGTTAGTTGTGGTAACGCAGGCCCAGTATTGCCACAGCTTCAGGGCTCTCAAGAGAAGCTGTGAATATGCATTTTTATGTGAAATGTCCAGGTTTTTTAGAGCATCTCCTCCTCCTCCTTCCCCCCTCTACTTCCTATTCTCCCCCTCCCTCTCCTCCCCCCTCCTCCCCTACCTCCTCTTCCTCTTTTTCTTCCCTGCAAGTCAAATAAAATCCATTTGTTGCCTGAATCTCTTTTTCAGTTACTGGTTTAGAGTATGGGCCTAAGTATTTCAGGTTCTTAAACTTTTTTCTACACTGCTTTTGGAACTGAGCAGATTCTTGGAGTTATTGCATGCTAGCCAGGCAACCAAAAATTGATGTGTAATTTCAGAATGCCAGGTTATTAATTTATAATAGGGGAGGGGAGGGTTAAATAATCTAATGTTCCAAAATCAGGTTTGTGGGATCAACATGTTTCGGGGGGGATGCAAATTAGTCATGGAAAGGTTGCTTGGTAGCCAAATGTAATTGCCTAGTCTTGAGAGATGGGGAAAAGCCTAAAGACCATCCTGCCCTTACAGAATGTCTCTCTATTGACATTAATACTTAGATCTACAGATTCCAGGGTCTTACCCCCTTGGAAAGTACTGAATAATGGCTGGCAGATTTTTCGTTTTGGACCTTTCTTTTTTAAAGATTTTTCCATAGACCCTCTATTAACATTTAAAAAAAATGTATGTATGGGTGTAATACAACTTAATAGTTCTATTTATCTCCAAGTCAGATTGATTGGACTGGGATGTTTAAATCTCGGTGAAATAGTTTTAGGGCAAATTCTTTTTGTAAGCCACTCAATTAGAAAGTTGTTTGAACTGCATGGTACTTGGCTAACTTTTCATAATTTTGTACAGTCCTTGATGTTTTATATTAATAGGAGATGGGATTAGGATGAATAAATCCCCCAATTTTATTTTGTAACTCTCTAAATCCTGTCCTGTTATTCCTTTGTGAGCTCTGAAAAGTATGGGTAGTAAGTCTGGTATAATGGAAAGAGCACAGAACTGGGAGGTGGATCTCCTTTTGTGACCTCTGTCTAGCCTTGTGATCTTGAACAAGCACTGTAGTTTGTCTGGGTTTTGGTTTATTTATCCTTAAAAGGATTTTACTTCCTGCTATAGAATTTCATTACCTACCTCCTTCCCGTACCCAATTTAAATATTTCCTCAACTCTTATTTCCATGCCATTTTATACATACCTTCCTTTTGGTATACCATCTCCTGTGTTACTTGATAACCTGTGTGTTTTCATGGAACTCAAGGGCAGGCATTGCATTTGTATCCCACTCTTAGAACATTCTGAATCATACTAGGAACTCAGTGTTTCTGTATTTGATTAAACTCCAACTAATATGTATATTTTTATTCATTGTTTTCTCAAAAGGTAATCTATCTAATACCTCCTTAATGTATACTTTTTAATTGAGTAGTGGAAAGAATAAAATTAAAGAGAACTCTAAAAATTTACTGAGTTAATGTACCAAGGCCTCCCAGGTGCGAAGAATACAGTCAACAAGACACACATGGTTCTTGCCTTCATGAATTTTACAGTCTAATGGTAGTGGGAGAAAAGCCAAGTTATCTTTTTAAGTATGTTTAAGTCTTAGATGGAAGCTGACCAAAGTATAGGACACAAAGAAGTATTTAATGCAATTTAAAACAGATTACACAAATATAAATTTTTTTGAAAACAAATTTAAAAAAAAGGAAAGAAAATTAAAAAAACAAAATGAATAACAATATTAACATCAGATCACAATACAATAAAATTAGAAATTACATAATAAAAATATAATTCAAAATTATAAAAAATATAAATTAAAAAAATCTTAACTTGGATCATGAAAAGTGGTAGGAACTGTTCTATAAACATTTACTGAGCTACTGTGTTTAAGGCATTTTGCTTGGTGCTGAGCACAGAAGTACAACGCTTGTATAAGGGAAGATAAGTAGCCCAATCCGGTTGGGGTATAAGGTAAGCAGTTGAGATGATAGGTCATAAATCAGTTTAGAGCTGAGCTGACTGCTTTACTAAGAACTTTAGATACTGTACTATATAAAATGAAAAAATTTGTATGGTTTTTAAGTAGAGGGGACACATCATATCTGTATTTTTGAAGGATAGAAATAAAAACGTAGATAAAACAAAATTTGTAGAATGCTTCCAAAATAATACTTGATGAAATTATATCACTCTAAATGTCTATATTAACAAAAAATGTCTAGATTGACTAGGAAGAAAGAATTACAATGATTCAAGTTAACATACGAAGAATCTGAGAAATAAAACAATAATAAGTCAAAGTAAAGAAGGGGAAGAAATATCAAAAATAAAACAAAAACAGAGACTTCCCTGGTGGTGCAGTGGTTAATAATCCGCCTGCCCATGTGGGGGACACGGATTCGATCCCTGGTCGGGGAAGATCCCACACGCCCCGGAACAATGAAGCCCATGCACCACAACTACTGAACCTGCACTCTAGAGCCTGTGCGCCACAACTACTGAGCCCACGCACCGCAACTACTGAAGCCTGTGTGCTCTAGGGCCTGTGCTCCACAACAAGAGAAGCCACCGCAATGAGAAACCTGCACACTGCAAGGAAGAGTAGCCCCTGCTCACTGCGACTAGAGAAAGCCTGCGCACAGCAACGAAGAATACCCAGCACAGCCAAAAAAAACCCCCAAAAACAAAGAAACCCAAAACAGTGTTCATGTATTCTTCATTTAACAAATATTTGTTGAGCACTTACCTACCATGTGTCAGGCAGTAGGATGGGCACTATATCTATATAATGATGAGCAGAAACACTCAACATTTTTTGGAGCTTATGGTAAAGTGGGAGACAAACAATAATAAAATTAGGGCTTCCCCTGGTGGCGCAGTTGTTGGGAGTCCGCCTGCCGATGCAGGGGACACGGGTTCGTGCCCCGGTCCGGGAAGATCCCACATGCCGCGGAGCGGCTGGGCCCGTGAGCCATGGCCGCTGAGCCTGCGCGTCCGGAGCCTGTGCTCCGCAACGGGAGAGGCCACAACAGTGAGAGGCCCGCGTACTGCAAAAAAAAAAAAAAAAAGGAAAAAAAAATAATAAAATTAATCCTACTAATGAATAAAAATTACTTTGTGATAAATGCTAAGAAGGAGAGCTACTATTTGCAAGCTATTGTAACAGGGAAATGGACCTAGTCAAGGAGGTCAGAGAAGCCTTCCCTGAAGAATTGATGCTTCAAATGAGATCTGAAGGATGAATAGCAGTTAATTAGGTCAAGAACAAATATACTTATCTGACAAAAACTCTTTCAGAAAGCAGAGGAGGAAGTATGCTTCCCAGCTCATTTTTTGAGAGCAGTATTACCCTGATTCCAAAGCCAGACAAAGACAGCACAAGAAAATTTGTCATAACTGTACTACAAAGCTACAGTAATCCAAACAGTATGGTATTCACACAAAAACAGACACATAGATCAGTGGAACAGAATAGACCACCCAGAAATGGGCAGTGTATTATATGGGCAATTAATCTACAACAAAGGAGGTGAGAATATACAATGGGGAAAGGACAGCCTCTTCAGGAATGCTGTTGGAAAAGCTGGAAAACTACATGCAAAAAAATCAAACTGGACTACTCTCTCACGTGATGCACAAAAATAAATTCAAAATAGATTAAAGATTTTAAATGTAAGACCTGAAGCTGTAAAACTTCTAGAAGAAAACATAGGTTGTACACTCTTTGACATTGGTCATAGTAATATTTTTGGATATGTCTCTTCAGTCAAGGGAAACAAAAACAAAAATAAACAAATAGGACTATGTCAAACTAAAAGACTTTTGCACAGCGAAGGAAACTATCAATAAAATGAAAAGACTACCTACTGAATGAGAGAAGATATTTGCAAATGGAATATCCAATAAGGGGTTAATATTCAAAATATACAAAAAATTCATACAACTCAACATCAAAAAAGCCAAACAACCCAATTAAGAAATGGGCAGAGGACCTGAATAGACATTTTTCCAAAGAAGACATACAGATGGCCAACAGGCACATGAAAAGATGCTCAACATACTAATCATCAGGGAAATACAAATCCAAACCACAATGAAATATCACCTCACACCTGGCAGAACAAATTACAAGCGTTGGTGAGAATGTGGAGAAAAGGGAACCCTTTTGCACTATTGGTGGGAATGTAAATTGGTGCAGCCATTATGGAAAACAGTATGAGGATTCCTCAAAAAATTAAAAATAGAACTACCATGTGACCCAGCAATTCTACTGCTGGGTATTTATCTGAAGAAAACAAAAACACTAATTAGAAGAGATATATGCACCCCTATGTTCATTGCAGCATTATTTACAATAGGCAAGATATGGAAGCAACCTAAGTGCCCATCAACAGATGAATGGATAAAGAGGATGTGGTATCTATATACAATGGAATATTACTCAGCTATAAAAGCATGAAATCTTGTTGTTTGCAGCAACATGGATGGCCTTAGAGGATATTATTCTAAGTGAAATAAGTCAGACAGAGAAAGACAAATACTGTATGATTTCACTTATATGTGGAATCTAAAAAAATAGATGAACAAACATAACAAAACAGAAAGAGTTACAAATAGAACAAACAGGTGGTTGCCAGAGAGGAGTGGTGAGGGGAAGAAATAGGTGAGGGAGATTAAGAGG